TTTGTTGTAATTTTAATAAAATAAATGCAGCCTTGGAAAGCATGAGACTGTTTTAAAACAGTAAAAAAAAATCTTACTGACCCCAAATTTTTGAGCAGCAGTAAATGTTTTCATAGTATGTCAGCTTTCGAAAGAGCAATAAAAAAATATATTTTTTCCATTTTATATGTCTTTTATTGAAAGTAAATATAATATTTGAGATGGTTCCAAAAACAAGACACGATTGGTTTGCTTTGGACAAGAACTGCTCGTTCTGAGAAGGTAAAGCTGAGCTTGTCTGTCATTCGTCTTTTGATTTCACAAACAAAGTTGAAGGTTTCTCCCACAAGATCAGCTCAGCAGATGTCAATAGAAGAATGAATAAAAACCAAATCACTGAATTGTGGGACAACGGTGTATAAACACTTTCCAGACTAGGCTGCCATTTGCTCTCATAAATTCCATCACAGATCCTGCCCGAGGCGCTGCCTTGAACATATAAAGCCATAGAAAGCGGCCCTCGGCGATGTTAGCATCATAAAGAAACTATAAGGTTGGTTGGGTCTCAAAGGCTCTTATTTGAATGGCAATAACATGCATTGTGTGAGATTTTGATGCAAACATGTTCCTGATGAATGACAGGGTGCTCACTGAAAGATGGCTTTTATGTGAAGAGAGGGGTGCGGGTGAAAAGAGACAGATTGACTGAGGCTTGTTCTGCTCAAAGAGAGCTTGACTCAAGCTTGTTTGAAGTAAGTGGGACAATGTCAATCTAGGGCACTTTTCAGGGCCAATGAAGGAAGAAAACGGCTGGTCCTGTTGAAGGATCTCAGCCACAATTTGTAAGAAACAAAAAGAGAGTGAGATGAATGCTTATGAAGCGCAGGTCTTCACAAAAACAGCCACTTGTGTTGGTGGCAGTGATGCATGTTAGGTCAAATTAGACAAGTGTTTAAATGCATCTGTTGACTTTGACATTAACATAAAAATAACATTTATTTTGTAAAAAAATATATTTTTTTATTTTTTATTTTATTTTTTTAACATTTAATTTTATTTGTTATTACATTTTAATTTAATTTAGTTTAGTTTAATTATTTTTATTTCATCCACAATTGTAATTTGTAAGTGTTTTAAATGCATTTGTAGACTTTGAAATAACTAACTTTAGCATAAAATATTGACATTTAATTGAATTTAATTGAATTGAATTTATTTTATTTTATTTTATTTTACTTTATTTTATTTTATTTTATTTTAGTTTAGTTTAGTTTAGTTTAGTTTAGTTTAGTTTAGTTTAGTTTAGTTTAGTTTAGTTTAGTTTAGTACAGATAGGCTTGGTCAAAACCAAGATTGCATGGACAAAGCAACTTTTTAAAATCTTTTTTAAATAGCAAGATGACTCCAAACTGTTTTCCTATTGGTTATTGTGCAATTTCACTATCAATTAATGTGTATGGAAGTAACAAACCACTATTACGAAGGTGAACCAGCAACATGTTGAGTGGAGAACTTAAACTTTAATTAAAGGTGTGTACAGAAACATGTCACTTTAAATTAAGTTTGAGTTATGCAATTAACAAATGTTTGCTGGTTGCTGGGAGAAATCACCGTACAAATGAGTTACATATAATTATCAAGGTATGTTAAGTTGGGATAGGAGGTTGGAGAAATTCAGCTTAACTAAAGTATCAGTCAGTCAATATTGATGGAGTAGAAAAAGCCAAATCTTTGAGTCACATATTATATGTTGTCATACTTTTCTGTAAACCTTTTCCACATTAGATGAGTCACTTCAGTCCGTTCCAGATGAGACTTGCTCAGACACGTGGTTTAACACAACTGAGGAGCTTCTGAACACACACATGCACATTTCCATAGGCACAATCCCTGCTCAGATGCTACAGTGGAGCTGACAAACACAAACATACACACACACACACACACACTAACCCTGGGAGTACAGGCCACTGGGGAGCTATGGACGCCCATAACAGGATTTCCCTGTTAATGCACTAAACACCCGGCTGAAAAACAACTCCAGCTGTTGTAATATTTTCCTTTTAAAAAAAGAGCTTTGTAAGAGCATATTGGTCAGCTGTGCTGCTGCATGTGGAATTCTGCTACAGGAGTTTGATGCACACAGAAATGACACACATTAGCCACAATAAACGGAAAAAAAAAGGAATTATGCAATATCAAAGAACATGAAATGATTGGGTCAGTCCACAGATTATAGCATGACAATCTGAGGACATCAAAACAAAACTGTCATGCAACATAAACCTATGAAGGTGATAATATAAGGGTAATTATTAGTGAATGTATGAAGTCAGTTCCCCTCAAGCTCACACAGTTGTCCTAATCACAGGTTTTTGTCATCATATTAACTATGTTCCATGAACTGTTGAAAACCAGAAAGTAAACAAATACTTCATCCATCTTCCCTACTGTTCAAAAGCTTAGGGTCGATAGAATTTTAAATTTCTTTATTATATATAGAATATATTTTCAAATATAATTTATTCCTGTGATGGCAAAGCTGAATTTTTGCCATCATTACTCCAGTCTTCAGTGTCACATGATCCTTCAGAAATCATGCTAATATGCTGATTAGCTGCTCAAAAAAAACAAATCTGATTATTATCAATGTTGAAAACAGTTAACCCCTTAAAAAAACGATACATTTTGTGTCACTTTTGATCAATTGAATGCATCCTTGCTAAATAAAAGTAAAATATTTTAATGCATTTTATTTTATTTTACAGATAAGATTATTTTTTAATGCATGCAACTTGTTTTTATATTTTGCTACCTAATTATTTTGTTATTTTTAAACTTGTTGACATGTGTGTCCTAAGTGTCCAAATACTTTCTTTGGCCACTGTATGCATGTGTGTGTGTGTGTGATAAGCTGTGTCTGTCAGCATTTGTTGACACAGATGGGATGTGTTTATTTATCTGAGAACGCAGTGGTAACTGTGAATCGAGAAATATAGAAACACCACTGATGTAGTTTGCTTTGCTCTCTGTCAAGTTCAAGGTGTTGTTTTGGAAGTTTCTGTTGGTAAAATATTGGCTACATCACTATAAATGCTATGTTTTCTGTTCATAAATTGATGTAGTTTTATTCTCTTTCTCTGCAGAAGGAGTGCTCTAACTTCATAAAGGTTCTGCAGCCGTTTAATCAGACGCACTTGTATGTGTGTGGAACAGGAGCCTTCCATCCCGTCTGTGCTTATGTGGAAGTGGGCAAACGCCCGGAGGTAAATACATCCCACATCAGTTGTTCTTTCACAGTTTATTGGTGGTTCTATTTTATCAAATTATTGTTATGTCACTTTTGATTATTTAGAAGCTTTGGTCACTCAGATAAGACCTAAAAATTATGCTAAAATTTTTCGAATCACAGTAGCCTTAAAATGTGACGGAAATTTGATAATTGTTTCAATGTGGTTTGTCATTTGCACAAAGATTGATTTTGTGCTCATTTCTATCCAGGACAACATCTTTCGGCTAGGGTCATCAAACCTTGAGAATGGCCGTGGAAAGAGTCCCTATGACCCCAAACTCCTGACTGCTTCCATGCTGATCGGTGAGTGATGCTGAATATGAACGACTGATTTTCTGGTTAATATTTAAGTTCACTGTAATCCTACCTGTCAAAATTTAATTTGAAGGGTCTTAAAAAGTTTGTACAGGTAGATGTCTTTCATAACAACAACAAAAAAAATCATTAATTCATTTTCTTAGCTTCACATTTTTACATGGGTGGTGTAAAGTCACATGACTAGATCCATTTCCCGCTCTGAAATTTAGATAAGATTAGATTTAACTTTATTGTCATTGTGTAGGGTACAGTACAAAGTCAATGAAATGCAGAAGCATCTAACTAAAAGCACAAATTGCAATATATCATATAATACACATAAACTTACAAGTATTATATAATTTATGTTAAGTGCATTTACAATGCATATGGTAGACCAGTCAGTGCAAATAAGTAACAGTATATTTAGAAGATGCCCTAGTTGTGAAGGTGGTAGTAATGGTACAGGAATGATGCAGGTGTCTGTGTCCAAATTCTATGAAAACAAATAAGTAATAGGTTACTGGTACCATAATACAAATGAAATGCACAGATAAGACATAAACATATCTAAGATCAAGTATATGACGAGTGGGAAAAAAAACTGAAACTCATGCTGTTATCTGACTGATTCAAAAATATAATTATTTATTTTAATACATTTATTTATTCTAGATATTTATTAATTATAGTTTAATGTTACTTTATTGTTTTCAACATTTTTATAATAATAATAATAATAATAAACAACATTTTTTAAAAACTCTAATACATTAAAAGTATTTTATTTTAGAATATAGAATAGAATAGAATAGAATAGAATAGAATAGAAAATGTGTGTAGGTTGTCCAGTGGGGTCCAAGTATGAGACAACACTTGAAAACAAAAGATTCAAAATCTAATTTAAATATAGAAAAAAAAAGAACATTTTAGGATTTGCACACACACAGTCCCGTTCTCTCACGCCATCCTTGAGCCTGAAATTGCCTGTGAGTGTTGACTGTCACACCTCTTTGAGTCCTCACCTGAGCTGTTATTAAAGTTTACAAAACCCAGACTGAACTAGTTCCTCCTGCCTCCTGACATTTCATTCTCGCCATCCATATTGAACTCACATTAACCATCCTAAATATGAGTTTTAATTAGTGTTTTTGATCATCAGATGGGGAACTTTATGCTGGGACATCAGCTGACTTCATGGGCCGGGACTTTGCCATTTTCCGAACGTTAGGCAAGCACCATCCAATCAGAACAGAGCAGCACGACTCCAGATGGCTCAACGGTGAGACACAAATACATATTTACACACATTACTCATGATCAGTGTTGGGGAAAGTTACTTTTAAAAGTAATGCGTTACAATATTGCGTTACTCCATAAAAAAGTAACTAATTACGTTACTTAGTTAATTTTTATGGAAAGTAATGCATTACGTTACTTTTGCGTTACTTTTTAAATCTGGACAGGGCTTGCTTGTTTGTTTTTAAAATAAAAAGTTATATTTTTGGCAAATATAAAAGCCTTTTCACACCAAAAGTGCATGAATAAGCCTCAGGCTGAAGGGAAAGTAAATTTAAGTCCGTACAGTAGAATGCAGAAGAAGAAATTTCAACACGCTTCAGCAATAAAAAAAGACTCACGAATGTTTGTCTAGAGTAATTTTTGCTTATTAGTATGGTTGAACTGGATCATCGAAGGTCAGAAGCAAAGACATTGGTTAATAGAATGGGATTAAATACATAAAGGATATTTGTGTTGTTTAACATTTAATTATTGCATATTCTGAGTTGCATTATTTTTATTCATTTTGAGGAATACTGAATCTGCGTTACTTGTAATGAGTTACCCCCAACACTGCTCATGATATATATATATTAAATGACTGCAAACATATAAATATACTATATACGCATACACTACCATACATACATACACTACCAACAAGAGTAATATTGTGAAACATTATTAGTTTAAAATAACAGTTTTCTATTTTAACATATTTAAAATGCCATTTAGTCATTTATTATTATGCAAAGCTGAACTTCTTCCATTACTTATTTTTTGTTAACCAAAGGAACAATTAAAGAGTAAATCAATGCCTTTGGCTCCAGTGAACAAGTTTTGCGTAATAGGAGTGTTTGCGCACTTGTATGTGTATGTGTATGTGTATGTGCATGTAGATGTGGTGAGGTGACTGTGTAGGTCAATGTGAGCTGGTGCAACAGTAATGTGATGTGAGATGTATGTGATGTGGCTCTTGCTTCTCAGTGAATACAGCAATAACCCTGAATAGCCATGAAAAACAGGCTGTTTAGAGCTGGGGCCCACAACATCGTAAACAGAGTCTATACACACTTAACATCTCATTAAGACGCACACACACACACACATGAAAATCAGACCTATTCAACTATATGAACAATGAAGCTTAAAAATCAGAAAATCTGAAATGGTCAGTACTCTTGCAATTAAAGTTATTGGTCCACACTAGTTTTGGCTAAATTATTTTTGCTGTATTATGTATTTTTATTATTTTGTGTTAATGTGTTGTTTGTTGTCCTTCCAGATCCTAGATTTATCAGTGTGCATCTCATCCCAGAGAGCGAAAACCCTGAAGACGACAAGATCTATCTGTTCTTCAGAGAGAACGCTATTGATGGAGAGCAAATCAGCAAAGCTACACAAGCCAGAATCGGACAGTTGTGCAAGGTACAGATACTCTTCACACATACATACACTAAAGGACCACAAACACATGACCCCACAGGCTGGTCCACTAAAAAAAAAAGGACATTTTATAGCTCAGAAGTCTCAGTATGTTTTATCTTTGCCCAGGATGCAACATAGGATCATTGGAAACAACGGGCCTCTGCCTATATTTTTGCTACAACCTCAACACTTTTACCATAGCGCTTGATTTGTAAACTAGTACATTTTGAAGTCTGCATCACATAACCAGCTCCATGTGTATGGCTTTTCTGACATAGTAAACTTGCTCAGTAGCTCACCTGGTACAGCATTGAACTTGCGCTGCGAAGTGCTCAGGTACCAATCTTGTGAAACACGACATGACAATAGACATAAAAGACTCGTAGAAGCAAGCTAAAATGGAATAGTTGCTTCAGCAAATGCATTTTTATCTCATGTTTGCTTTTGTTAAAGGGGTCCTATTATGCTTTTTCACCTTTTCAACTTTAGTTAGTCTGTAATGTTGCTGTTTGAGCATAAAAACAGCCAGACTGGGGAGAGAGGTGTTGTAATAATGTAAAATATGTGAAAAATAATGTGTTTTTCGAACAACCTAGTATGAGAGCCTGTTCTAGTACCCCCCCAAAACAAAATCAAGACTTTGTAAAAGAGCATAATAGGACCCCTTTAACACTGTCGGTTAGGTTTAGGGTAGGGTTTAGTATAGGTGTTACGTTATTTTCAAATGTGATCAAATGTGACTCATCAGACATTTCATTTCCAAACTGCCATGATACGTACAACAGCCAATGTAATAAAACGTTGCTAGATCCACTTCCATCTGTTTCGGATAAAACCGAACGCGCAACTGACTGGACATTTCACTTTGAAAGTGTCGCAAAACAAGCAAGAAGCAACGTAACATAATTTTGCAAGAATCGACAATACCATTCTGACTTTGTTGATATCTTAGCAAATTTGAGCACAGTTCAGTACTCTTTTTCTCAGAAAAATACTTTAAGAGACTGCTTCCATTTAATCTTGTTGTATAGAAGACACGATTGAGATATTAACTAGATCTTATTTGTGATTTTTCTTTACCATGGTAATGCATACACAAAACGTTGCTTCATTCCTCTCCTCCTCATGGTGGCAGGAAGGCCCAGCCAGTGTTTTTGCATTTGGCTTCACCTCTGTTTTGTGGCCTTGCTCTCACCCCCCACGTGAAATTTAAGAGATGCCTAAAATGTCACAGGAGCCATCAGCCGAGAGAACAAAGACTCCTCTGTGGAGAAAATGTGAGACTTTGGCAGACTCACTCAGCTCAAGTGCGAGTCTACAGCTTGAAGAGGTAGAAAGGTGTTCTCAATTACAGCTCGCTCGGTATTCTGGTATGACTGGAATCCTCCCTTCACCGGCACAGACAATTGTCTTATTATGCCGAGTGTATGTTTAGTTTATGTAACACATTTTCCCGCCTTGCTAATTAGAACTGATCAATCCACAGCGACGGAGACTGTTATTATTGCTCATTTGTTTCTCGTGCTGACTGCTAGGTTTTTTGTGTAAAACAAGATTGAAGACACCTGTGTGTGTGTGTGTGTACACATGCACACACCTCTTTAAAATGAATCATCAATAATTATTCTCTATAAATAAATACTGTCTGTGCAAAGGATGACTGGAGTTATTGTTTTGAGAATTTTATGTTGGAGTGCATTTACCTTAAAGGGGTCATGAAATTAGAAATACATTTTTCCTTGATCTTTTGACATGTAAGAGGTCATTTTACTATAAAAACACACTGTAAGTTTCAGCTCTAAAAACTTCCGTTACTCTAAAAACCGCTTTTATTGAAACCAAGCTGCCAAAATAACTCGTTTAGCTTTATTATGTAATAGAAATGAATACATCAGTGCAAAGCTGACTGTTTATTTTCAACTATGTGAATGTCTCAGTAGAATTCTTTTTTCATGATTCTGTGATAGCATAAATGTAAAAGTTTTGAAAAGTGTCTTAACACACAGGGTGGAAAATAATTTTTTTTAAAGTGAAAATCGTCTCAGGTTACTTATGTAACCATGGTTCCCTGAGTAGGGGAAATTTGCATTGAATTGGCCATGCCCCACAGGAATTTACAGAATTTTAGTTCAAATAAATTTGACAGATATAGTCAACAGAGTACCATACAGATGGTATTCCGGGAAGTGAAATGTTCATCCACACTAGTCCATAAATATTTACATTTTTTTAAACTACTTTTTTTTTTTATTTTTTACATTTTCAAATGCAGATGTCAAGTCAAAATTCAGAGTTTGCATTGACAAACGTTCTTTTTTTATTGTTAAAGCTTAATGGAGTTATATGAATTTTTTTGAATTTCCTAATTTAACTTCCTTAAATTCAAATTAGTTTTATACCTCAATTCGGTTAAAATGGAATTTAAAAGGATTCTTTGTTCAATTCTGAATGGCACATAGCCCTGCCTATAGCATCACGTAAAAATTTAAAAATGTAGTGCTAATTATATTCTTTTACACATTAGCTTGTCTGAAGTAAATGTTAAGTAAAATGATACAAGTACATTTTAATTTGTTCCTGACAGAACGATTTTGGAGGCCACAGGAGTTTGGTGAACAAATGGACCACCTTTCTGAAGGCCCGTTTAATCTGCTCCGTTCCTGGCCTGAACGGCATCGACACACACTTTGATGAACTACGTAAGTTACCCATGCTATGACAATACCTTCAGATTTTGCTCTACTGTTCTGTTTTGGCATATTTGGTTGTCCACTCACTAAAAAAAAATGTTGCTCGTTTTCAGAGGATGTTTTTCTCATGAGCTCCAAGGATCCCAAAAACCCTATTATCTATGCTGTATTTACAACATCCAGGTATTAAAATATCCAATTTACACCAAATTCCCTTTTCCCACCAAGCCTGAATGCTTATTCTGTCTTTTTGTATTCAAAGCTTGATAATTATGTCTCAAGTCCCTAAAGGCGAAGCTGTCAAATAACTCATAATTGCTGTTTCTCGGGTTTACAGTAACATCTTTAAGGGCTCAGCAGTGTGTATGTACGGTATGGCGGATATCAGGAGGGTGTTTCTGGGCCCCTATGCCCACCGAGATGGACCCAACTACCAATGGGTACCGTTTTTGGGTAGAGTGCCATATCCAAGACCTGGCACGGTAAGACGGCCAATCAGTGCTGATGCCTTTGTACATTTTACTTTCAAATTAAAGTGACTTGCCTGCCTGGATTTTAACAAATGTTCTTCTGGATGTTGACAGTGCCCCAGCAAAACGTTTGATGGTTTTGAATCAACAAAGGACTTTCCTGATGACGTTATCACTTTTGCCAGAAGCCATCCGGCCATGTACAACCCAGTGTTCCCCATCAACAACCGTCCAATCATAATCAAAACCGATGTTGACTATCAGTTTACTCAGATAGTGGTGGACAGGGTGGAGGCAGAGGACGGCCAGTATGATGTTATGTTTATTGGCACTGGTGAGTAGAATTAAGATTTTTTTAAATAATGTTATTTACATGTTTTTTTTTTTTGGTATATGCTAGATGTAAAACACAAGTTAATAATTTTATTTTTCCACCATAGACATGGGCACAGTTCTTAAGGTGGTTTCCATCCCCAGAGGAACATGGCATGACCTTGAAGAAGTCCTGTTGGAAGAGATGACTGTGTTCAGAGTGGGTTTATAGAGCTTATTATACTAATTTATTCCTAATTGGTACATTATTAGGATTGTTCATTGAAAACTATTTAGTGTACATTCCAACACCGTCGAATTTTTCTACTAAAATACCTCAAAGGAATTATTTTTTAGGTTTTTAATACTTTTTCCATTTTTCATACTGATAAATATTTTGTAATATAAAGTATTAAAAACACTTATTTTTTTCACAGGAGCCATCAGCTATTACTGCGATGGAACTCTCCACAAAGCAGGTTGGTATTATTAGAACTTCAAACAACTGATCTCTTAATGCAATAAAGGTGGTGAAAGCAGCTCTTTATAAGTGGCAGCACTGAACATGATTCCATTAGGCAAGTCTGAAGAACATAACTGGTTTAATAAGTGAAGTGCAGGGAAAATAATGAATCTAAAAGAGTGAAATAGGCCTAATGCTTAATAGAACACAGTGGGTCTCATTCACTAATATTTGTATACAAGTGGACAGAAATTCACAACAGCGGTGCATATTTGTTCTTATCCTTGTTCTAACATTGTTTAACCCAAATTATTCTATTATATTACTGAATATGATTCCTGAAGGATCATGTGACACTGAAGACTGGAGTAATGGCTGCTGGAAATTCAGCTTTGACATCACAAGATTAAATAACATTTTAAATTATATTAAAATAGTTATTTTTAATTATAATAATATTTCACAATATTACTGGTTTTACTGTATATTTGATCAAATAAATGCAGCCTTGGTGAACATAAAAGTCTTCTTTCAAAAACATTAAAAAATCGTATCAACCTCAAGTGTTTGGATGATAATATATATAAGTAAAAGTTAAAAGAATTCAGCTTAACACATTCTAACATGCTTTTTATGTTAAAATGTGGGCCACTAGAAGTCTGTTTGCATATATGTAGCTCTAATTGATTCTAAATATTATCCTAGATTTAAATCATAAAACTATTCACTCACAATAAGAACCAAAAAGTCTAACAGGTGATCTAGCCAGAACTAGCCAGCATGTGAGCTTTTTGAAAAAGCGCGAACTGGTCCGCCAAGTTAGCACTGGGTGTTTTGTGGGGAAATTGTCATGCCGCACTGCATTTTGTTGACAGAGGTGATATAGACCAGCCAGATTTATCATGTACCAAAAAACCCAACACAGTAAACCAACAGTCTTCTGATTTCCAACCATGCATAACACCTCCCTAACATCTTTTATTGGCTTTGGAACAGCATTTCTATCAAATAGCCTTAGCCCTAATTCTAACCTAGCACTAAAAACAGAAGAAAATTTGGTTTATTAATAGAAATTGTTGCTCCAAGACCAAGAATGAGGTTGATCCAACTTGCAGATCTTACTACTTGACGTTATGTTAAGTGTGATAACATGCTAGCAAGAAAGCAGTCACTGCGTCATACTTCCCTTAACATCTCTTCATAAAATAAAATTCAGGATGTGCGGGGAAAGTATAAATTTGAAGCCAAAGAGAAAATTGCAACTGTTCATAACAGTGTTTTAATGAAAGCTCTGCATACATGCCGTACATGTCAGGTTAGTGTTTTTAATTAAAGCTTTTGAAATGAAACGCAGCCTAAAAAGGTCATTCCGCTATGTTAATGACATATTTAACTGCTGAGAAACTGTTTCACAGCTGTTGCAAAAATACAGGCTCTAGAACGTGCATTTACACACGTCCGTTCAAAAGCTTAGGGTCTATAAGATTTCTGAATGTTTTTGAATGAAGTCTCTTATGTTCCTGCATTTATTTGATCATAAAAACAGTAATATTGTGAAATATTATTACAATTTTAAATAACTGGTTTCTATTTGAGTATATTTTATCATTTAATTTATTCCTGTGATGCAGAGCTGATATTTCAGCATTATTACTCCAGTCTTCAGTGTCACATGATCCTTCAGAAATCATGGTGCTCAAACATTTTTTACTATCAATGTTGAAAAGTATCCATTAAAAAAGAAAAACCTTACTGACCACAAACTTTTAAATGATACATGGTGTACATCGTGTGATCACATTAATGGGGACCACACACAGACTTCCTGTATCGGACACACCTCATTACAGTGGCACCGCTAACCCACAGCACTGCGCTCTGACATTTCATAGTTCAGATTTAAAAGGATGGCAGAAGAAAATGAAAGACTCTTGGTCTCTCTTGGCCTTGAATCCCTATAGACCTGAAACACGCTGAGAGACACACAGCTGTGATAGACATGCTGGGTGTGACTCTGCTAGTGTGATAGCATATGGTCTGAACTATCAGTTTGTATTCTCACTGTTGGATGTCCTGTTTGTCTGTATCAGGATCAAGAGTTCTCACTTCTTTCTTTGTTGTTTCCCTGTCTATGTGAGCAGATGAGGCAGACGGAGAGAGAGGTTTGCTGGATAAGACAGTGTATGGGGTTGAAAACAGCAGCTCTTTTCTGGAGTGCAGTCCTAAATCCCAGCGTGCCCTTATTTACTGGCATGTGACACTGAAGACTGGAGTAATGGCTGCTGGAAATTCAGCTTTGACATCACAAGATTAAATAACATTTTAAATTATATTAAAATAGTTATTTTTAATTATAATAATATTTCACAATATTACTGGTTTTACTGTATATTTGATCAAATAAATGCAGCCTTGGTGAACATAAAAGTCTTCTTTCAAAAACATTAAAAAATCGTATCAACCTCAAGTGTTTGGATGATAATATATATAAGTAAAAGTTAAAAGAATTCAGCTTAACACATTCTAACATGCTTTTTATGTTAAAATGTGGGCCACTAGAAGTCTGTTTGCATATATGTAGCTCTAATTGATTCTAAATATTATCCTAGATTTAAATCATAAAACTATTCACTCACAATAAGAACCAAAAAGTCTAACAGGTGATCTAGCCAGAACTAGCCAGCATGTGAGCTTTTTGAAAAAGCGCGAACTGGTCCGCCAAGTTAGCACTGGGTGTTTTGTGGGGAAATTGTCATGCCGCACTGCATTTTGTTGACAGAGGTGATATAGACCAGCCAGATTTATCATGTACCAAAAAACCCAACACAGCTCTTACTCTCGGGCTGGGTTACACACACACGTTGCTTGGCCTCCAGCTACATTACGCAGAGCAGGGGCTGCTGTCACAGTCACTCACACAACACGGCAACATGAGGTACTGCCATTAGAGGCCACACACACACACAGACACACACACCAGCTGGTTTTACACCCAGGACTGCAGCGTGAGCTCTCCTTTAGATTGTGTGAATAATCCAGAAGACACTGAGGTTATCTGAAGGGATATATAATTAAACAGCTGTGTACAAGCCCCGAGAAAGTTCCCGTATCCTCAGTGAAACAGCCATTAACTCAGAGATCACACCAGAGCACAGGCCATCAAAACTTTGGCATCATTGTTTTAAGGAAGTCTCAATCTCTCTGCTCTATTTTTACAGCAACAGCTCTATCTGGGATCCGCCATTGGGGTTTCTCAAATGCCGCTGCATCGCTGTGACGTGTACGGGAAGGCCTGCGCTGAGTGCTGTCTGGCGCGTGATCCTTACTGCGCCTGGGACGGCTCACAGTGTTCCCGATACTTTCCAACTGCTAAGAGGTACATTGAGGAACGCCGAAACACTGCAAAATTGATCTAAGATGAAGAAGATGCTCCATGAACTTTGAGTTTTTTCGTCAATGGGCTCTGAATTCCTTTCAGATTTGTTATTATATATCAAAAGTTGCCAGATTTTTCTTTTTCTTTTTACTTATTTGAACTAGATCGAGGTGATGAATTCAATGATTTTTTTTTAGTTGGAGCAAACATGTAATTTAAATGAGCTCATATAGCATTGCTATTTTTAGGCTGTAACATTCAACAACATGCAACACTGCAACCTTAAAGGAGTAGTTGACAGTGTTATTTTAGTATTAATTATTTACTGCTATAGTATTTATTCATATTTTGAATTAGCTTTTATTTTTATATTTTCAGTTTTTTATTTAATTTTAGTTTCAGTAATTTGTCATGGGCTTTTGTCATCTTTTTCTATTGAGCATTATTATTATTTTTTTCAGATTTAGTTTTAGTAATGTCAATCCTTTAGTTGCCAA